CCCACGAGGACATTTGTTAATGTCCAGTTCTTTGAAAGCCTAGGGATACATGGCTTCTATATACAAAGCCTATGGCTACCATGGAATCTTTTTATCTGTAAAGACTAGGAGTTTCCAGTACAGCTCAGTTAAACTTTGTTTCCAAGAGCGAGACTTCTTAGAAGGATAAATGGGGTCTTGAAAATCAATTGTGCCTGTTCCTAATCTTTGTATTCAGAATAAAAATATGAGGAATCCAATTGCTGGTCTTATGAGGCCCCCTAGTGTTCATAATGCACACTTCCGCAATCCAAACACAATGACACTTCAGAAACACTTCAGCCGTCAGCTAGCTTTGGAATCAATCTGTCTCCCATTAAAAATATCCCTTTGAGAGAATCAATGATATGGGAGATGAAATGTGAAAGATCTAATTTTAATTCATTTGACTTGAATTATTTTGAGCCAATTTTCATAAGACAACTAAAGGCCCAGAAAAATCCTAAGCAATATTTAATATTTTTCAAAATTATAGTCTTTGATAGCAACATTCCATTTTACTTTTATATTTCTCAATTCAGTTTAACTATTTTTAAGTAATTTCTTATATATACAGTTTATTAGTATCTCATTACATAACACTCAAAATATCCAAAGCCTTAGTCAGTAACACAATATACTTAAGTCTTTTAAAGGGAGAGTTTTTAAAAAGGGGGGGAGAGTTTACTACGTGTGTAACTAAAAAATAAAATTTAAGGAGCTAGCTTCATGACCTATTATTATATTGTCATCTCTCCCTTTAGATCTGTTTATAATTGCTTTATATATGTAGGTGCTATCATGTTGGGTGCATATGTATTAGCAATTGTTAAACAGTTAAATTGGTTAATGCCACTGGATCTCACAAGGCCAACAGTGCTGTTTGAGTCCTATATCTGGCAGGACTTGAACTTGGCTTGAAAAACATGGTAAGTGCATGTGTGTACATGCCTAAGATCCTAAAGCAAGGGAGAGAGGGAGAATAAAGGATTGCAGCGTGACTATTCCCCATGGAGGGTGCTTTCTCCTCTCCCTTCCTCTGTCTCTTTTTCCTGCAAGCACATGCATCCTCTAGCAAAAAAAAAAACTTTAAAAGCCAGCATACATTATTTTCCTCAACAGTTAATTTATCAGGACCAGCAGATGGCAAAATGGTTATGTTGCTAGACTCCCATGTAATTAACAGCGGTTCTAGTTCCAGCCTAGTGGCTTAAAACTCACACCGGGCACATGTGTGAATGCTCAAAATCCTGAGAGGAGAATGGAGAAGGGACTGCAGTGTGGCCTCCGCCGCCCGGTGGGGTAATTTCTCGCTTTCTGTCTCCCTGTCTTTCCAGCAAGCACACACGCCTTATAGCAAAAATTGCTCTTAAAAAAAACCCAAAATCAAACAAAAATTTGATGTATCTTCTCGAATCTTACAGTACTAAGCCTGTATCAATACAATAATTGTCATTTTCATTATGAAAACATTCTTCAATGGCATCTGCCTTCTTACTTTTGTACCACGGTGTCTTCAACTGATTAAAAAAAGCATCCTGGCATTTAACAAGCAGCTAAGAGGTATGCTACACATAACTTAATGGTAATTTCAGTAACCAAGTCAGTAATAATACAGCTTTCACACACACACACACACACAAACACACACACACACACAAACACACACACACACACACACACACACACACACACATGCGTAGGAAGGCAAACAGAGACACTCATCCCAGAACTACTACCAACCTTCCACTCCTACTCCGACCCGCAATGTTCTTGGATAGACAGAGAGAATTCCTGTCCATTTAATAATATTGGCTGGGGGTAGGGGCTTCGTCCTCTTCAACTCCTCCCTTCCGCTCTTCAGTCCTCCTCAAAATGGGAGACACTTCCCTAACTGCTAAGACTAGTGTAAGGGGCCGGAAGCATGCCTCTCCTGCTCTCCTGGCTTCCTCTTTCAGGACCAGCCTATTGATGACGGTCTCCTTCCCCAGCATAGTTAACAGCCTGCTTCTATGGGGTGAGGACTATAAGTTGCCAGCTGCTTGCCTGTCAGGGGGTGGGTGACTTTAGGAGAAGAATATTAAGTCACATTTTCTCAGACTAGCCATAAACTAATATCTCAATCTTTGAATTCAACATTGATTCCTAAATTGCACAATAATTTAGAGAAGGAAAAAATATAAACAATTTACCACGAAATATAAACAATATAAATTAGAGCAAATTTAAGAGTACACCTTTAAGAAACCAGGAGATGGCATAATGGTTATATCACTGGACTCCCACACAGTCGACAGTGGTTCAAGTCCCAGACATGGGAGCTTAAACTCACACTGGGCACGTGTGCAGGCATGCCCAAAATCCCAAGAGGAGAATGAAGGAGAAGGGATTGCTGTATGGCCATCACCCTTGTGGGGTGATTTCTTTTTTATGGTCTCTATGTCTCTCTCTGTGTCTCCAGCAAGCACACACACCTTATGGCAAAAATCTCTCTCTCTAAAAAAAAAAAAAAAAGTATCCCTTTAATAACATAACTCTCATTTTCTGTGCTTTTTTTTGAAGTGGGAATGAAGGGAATTGAGCATTACTCTAAATGCACCTGAATACATAGTATTTCTTGTATACAGCATAACACCACCAAGCCAAAACCTTTGGACATAAGATCTTACATTTAGACCACTGATCATTTGCCTTTTAACTCACTTCGAATGGATACATCTTTATCTCCTAAACAAGAAAAACATTCCTGAAGGTACACATCAAGTCTAATTGAATATTATTTTTATGCCACTCACTAAATAATTTAAGGCAACTTTATGTATTACATGAAGCTTACTTTGATATCTCCAAAAGTCATAGACATTTTGCCTTTTGTATATTAAGGCCCTTTCTTTAGGCCAAAAATATATGTCTGAGACTTTTACTTCTTCAAACTAAATGTACTTTAAATTTATTATTTTTTAAAATTATTTTATTTAACTTTATTTATTTATTTATTTTAATTTGACCAGAAAGGGGCAGAGCAAGAGAGCAAGCTAGAGAAAGGGAAAGTAAGCCACTAAGTGCAGGACTCAAACCATGGTCAGCCATGTAGGAGCCCAGTGCCCTTAACCACCATGCCACCTACTGGTACCTAATTTATTTTAAGGTATATCATAAATCTGTTATAGAACCAATGAAAGGATGTGAGGATGTGTGAATAAATGTCTGCCTCTGGCTTATCCACTATCTTATTTCTTGTATTTACTGTGGTTTTCCTTTTATTTATTTATTAAAAATACTTATTTCCTTTTAAACAGAGTCCCACTACATTTCAATCCTCCTGCCCCAGTCTCTCCAGTAGGTGAAACTACGAGAGCACTGCACTGTACCCACCTTGTTAGCATGATCCTGGGCTTGAGCCCAGGCCTCCCATGTGGCCTCCACTACAGAGTACCAACCAGCAGGTGCTACTGCAGCTGAGCCTGTTTAATTTTTTCAATCTGACATCTAATATAAACTTAGTACCATCAACTCTTAGCCCTTAGCCAATGTTCACAAATCATATTCATTTACCATTGATAATAGTCCCAGAGTACCCATGTACATTAAAATAACTTATTAGCTTCTATAACTATTCTAACACTCTTCATCAAGAATTACATATATAAGAGGACTCTAATTTCTCACAGCATTCAGGTAAATTTTCTCTTTCCTTTTTTTTTAAAGAGAGAGATATTTGGGACCAGTAGTTGGCATAATGGCTATGTTGCTGGACTCCCATGTAGTCAACCACAGTTCGAGTCCTGGACCCAGTGGCTTAAACTCACGCCGGGCGCGTGTGCGTGCGTACCCAAGATCCCGAGAGGAGAACGGAGGAGAAGGGATTGCAGCATGACTATTCCCCCTGGGAGGGTGATTTCTCACTTTCTGTCTCTCTGTCTTCCTCTGTCTTTCTGGTGAGCGCACGTGCCCTACAGCACAAACCTCTCCAAAAGAGAGAGAGAGGAAGAGAGAGAGAGAGATTTTTGCTATAGGATGTGTGTGCTCACTGCATAGACAGAGAGAGAAACAGAGAGGAAGAAAGCGAGAAATCATCCCCCAGAGAGGATGCCCACCCCACAATCCCTTCTCTATGCTCCTCTTGAGATTTTGGGCACACAGGCACACGTGCCTAGCATGAGTTTTAAGCCACTGGGTCCATACTCAAATCGTGGCTGACTATGTGAAAGTCCAATGATGGAACCATTTCGCCATCTGCTGGTCCCATTCAGATTAATTTTCATGGTGACTTTTTCTTTCTTTCTGTTAACTGACATACAGATACTTATTGGTGTGGGTTTTTGATGGGGAAATACACTCCTATCAGAAATTTAAAGTACTTAGTAAATTTCAAGTACCACCATATCCTTATATTCAAGAATGTAGTTCAACCCACATAACAGAACACCAAAGACTGGCTCCTAGCTGGCCGCACTTTCAGACTGAAGGGCAAAAATCATAGCTAGAGTATGACAGACCCATGTTCATCCTTTCTACCAGTTGTTGTATTAACATGAATAATATACAGAACTACTCGGTTTTCTCATGAAGGATGATAATCCTTATAAAGTCTAAACTCCAGAAGAGAAGGAATATGTAAGAGTAGTGGTAGGTATATACCAAACGATAGTTTGCTCTACTTAGTCTCAACAACAGTCCTAATACAGATGAAGGTCACCATGAATTCTGTACCATTATTTATTAAATATTGCTGCAACGATATTTATTTAAAGAGACCCTGGGGGCTGGCAGGTGGCGTGGTGGTTAAGAGTGCTGGACTCCCACATGGCTGACCAAGGTTCTAGTTCTGGACCTAGCAGCTTGCTTTTTCACTTTCCCTCTCTCTCGCTCTGACTCTCTCTGATCAGATTAAAAATAAATAAATAAAATTAAATAAAATAATTCTTTAAAAATAAAGAGACCCTGAACAAAATACTATATTCAGCTTCAAGTCAACTTACCAAGAGAGGAGTACAAACCCTGACTTATCCAAGCTAGTATAGCAAGAGTTATGAGGTCGCCAAAACTAGCAGCAATGGGTGTGGCAACATTGTCAGGGTTGATACCAGTCTTCTTTGAGCCAACGATAACCCCAACCATTATTATTCCTAGGGGGAAAAAAAGTTCATTACTTTTTACGCTATGATGTAGAGAAAATCAGTCTCATAAATATCGAAATATGTAGGATAGATAAACAAAGCCTATCAGTTTCAGTTAGACTGCTTAGATGAGCTGACTAAGCCAAACAACACATTTTATTCTCTGTTGACAAAATGCCTTCCAACAAACTCAAATGGGGATCCTGGATTTGAGAAGTTCAATGTTACATTTGAAAGCTACTCCAAAATGGTGTTAAACTAATATTTTGAATTTAGTGACATGTATATCTTAGATGTATTTATACGTATCCAACCCAAAGATTTAAATTTTAATCTCTAATAAAGTACCAGGGTTCTTCAAAAAGTACATGGGAAGATGTGTATTATTAAAAAACTATGCAAGGATTTCAAGATTTTTTTTTTCCACAAAATCAATTCATACTTTAATTCCATTTCCACGAAGTTTTTGAAGTCCTTTTGTATGAAAACATCAAAGAACGGTGAGTCACCATTATATGCATAACAACTGGGACAAAGACCAACAAAAACAGATCTGTTCACATGTGGTAATTAGAAATGTTTGCTTTTCTTATTTAAAACTGCATTAAAAAGCAGAAAGTAATTAAATCTTGAACGCTGGAGACCAGAACAAAAAAAACAGTCTTTGTAAAAAAAATATTCTTTAAACCCAAAGTTTCTGTCCATAAATCTACAAGAGAACAGAAGATGGAAAGTGACTATATGCTTATACTTTGAAATCCTTATATTCGAGAATCAAGCAAATGGGAGAAAAAGGATAACATTTATATCCCTGCTCAATTGTACAGATACACGCACATTTATTAGAGGATGCAGTAAAGAGAAAATGGTAAGTGTTTAGTTCTTTTCTGTGCTTATCATATAAATCAACATGGACACTTAAAGATGCCTATGAAAAAATAAACACTCTCACTGCAATTTTAAGGTAAAAATTATTCTAAATGCTTTTGTTCCAGCGTCCTCATTTTACAGATAATACAACTGAAATCACAGAGAAGGGTTTCAATTCTTGCCTCAGGTCACACAGCCTGTAAAATGATGGTAGCCCAGTGTTTTCAGCCCAGAAAATCAAAGTTTAAAAAATTTTTTGTCTTGTATCAAACAATGGCTTCTGGAGTCTTTTTCAATCTCCAAACTGACCTTTTCCATAATATCATTGTAAAAAGAAAATAAAATGACAATTGTGGAAAAAAATTTAAATATACGATAACCCAATAAAACATGATTGTGTAGAATTCTTTTTCCAAAATCAGCACATTAAAAGAGCTAATATGACGAGCCAGCAGATGGCATAGCAATTATGCTGCTGGACTCTCACATAGCTGACTGGGATTTGAGTTCCAGACCCAGTGGCTTGAAACACACCACCGTGTGTGTGTGTGTGTGTGTGTGTGTGTGTGTGTGTGTGTGCCCAAGATTCTAGGAAAATCAAGAAGGGACTGCAGCATGGCCATACCCTGGGCAGTGATTTCTCACTTTCTCTCTCACTGTCTCTTTCTCTCTTTCTGTCCAACGAATGCACGTGCCCTAAGGCAAAAACCTCTTAAAAAAAAAAATAGAGCTGTATGGAATTTGAATGAGAAGTGCTCCCGTGACTCAATGCCATCCATGTCTTCTAGCTGAGAACAGCTATTTCATATGCATTATAGTCCAGCAGAAAAGTCTGGGAGTTGGGAGAGTTGGGTTTTAATTTGCTAACAAGCTGATGAAATTGGACAAGTCACCTTACCTGTCTAGGCCAGTTTTCTTATCTATAAAATGTGATTAACATAGTAACTGATTTACATATATTTATGTGACTATAAAGGTCAAGTTATCATAATATTACCATACACATTATTCCAAGTAGAAAGCTTTAAACTAACGTGTTCTTAAAATTGGAGTTTTTGATAGTCCTCAAAATCCTAGGCATTTCAAATACTTATTAAACTGCAATATGTTAAACAACTTTCTCTCTCTCTTTTTTAACGTGCTATCAGATGCGTGTGCTCACGAGGAGAGAGAGGGAGAGGGAAAGTAAGAAAGCACCCCCTGGAGGAACATTTGCACTGCAATCCCTTTTCCCTCTCAGAAAGGAGGGTGCACGCCCAGCATGTTTTTCAAGCCATGGGTACAGAATCAAACCACACAGTGAGCCATTAACCACCATGCCACTGGCTGGTCTTAAACAGTATTTTCCAAATGAAATAACATCAGAAAGAAAACAGAAGCAAATTAACTTAAAGAACAGAATGCTGATGCTATATATATGTTTTTCTTTTTCTTTTACCAAAAATGTATTTTCCCAGTAGCTTAATTTTACCCTATTTTGGCCACTGTTAACTCCATTCAATTTCAGTAATTCTTTATAAAGTTAAGAAAAGACCCCTGATATAATTTAAGTACCAAAGCAAAAATCTTTGAATATATTTTGGAAATCAAATCTTAATTTTAATAAGACTTTCTATATTTCTAGAACCTAATCGCAAAATCTAGCTGTGTTGCAAGATCACCTGATAGGAGAATCCTACATTTTTAACTTTGCTGGTGACATAACAGTGATGGCAATTACAAAATAAAAAAGAACCAAGTCTTTATGATTATGAATCCATAATAACCTAGTTCTAGCATAAAGGAAAAGAAGACCCAATTAAAAAGTTCTAACGTAGTTACTTTTTAAAACCTCCTGGCTCTTTAAAATTCTTTAGCCAACAATATCCTATCTTAAGTATAAGGTTATATTTGTATTGCCACAGAAACAGTGAAAAAAGATCTTTTAGAATTTTTTTTTTTTTTTTTTGGAGAGGTTTTTCTTTTTGCTATAGGGTGCGTGCACTCGCCAGACAGACAGGGAGAGACAGAGAGACAGAAAGTGAGAAATCACCCCCCAGGGGAGATGGCCACACCACAATCCCTTCTCCGCTCTCCTCCTGGGATCTTGGGCAAGCTCGCACGTGCAGCCTCCAGGGTTGACTACGTGGGAGTCCAGCGACACAGCCATTATGCTAACTGCTGGTCCCTTGAAATTTGAAACTTAAAATAGTTTTTAACACTGGGACTGCTTTTGAAACTCAGAATTCCTGGAATATTTGTCATTACTCAAGTGACAATCCAGTAAATCCCCTGCCTGGTTTCCAGAAAGGAGTTTCCCAATTAATTTAACTTACAGAAACAAATAAATGTCTAGGCTATTTTCCTGATTTTGTTTGGGAACAGAGTACCTAATCCAAGAAATCAACCTCAGAAAGCCTGTTCTACACTAAGTTTTATAAATCAAAATACATATCTGAAATAATTACAATTTTGTAAAATTTGTAGATAAACTTTGTTTTCATACTGAGTGAGTAAAAATAGTTCTCCAGGGTCAGCAGGTGGCATAGTAGTTGAAGCACTGGACTCCCACATGACCAACCATGGTTCGAGTCCCGGACCTGGCAGTTAGCTTTCTCATTTTCCCTCTCTTTCTCTGCCTCTCTCTCTTTCTGGTGAGTGCACTTGCCGTGTAGCAAATTTTAAAATAATAATAATGACAAATAAAATTAAATAAGTAACTTTTTAAAAAGTTCTCCATCTTGAGAAATAAGTCACTTAAAATTAGTAAAAGACTGCAATGTAGACACTTAAAAATTCACTTACCCTGTAGGAGAGATGCAATGAATGCAGTTGCCACACTGCTAGAGCACAACAGTATGGAATGATCAAGGTAGTATTTCCCCTCTGGAATCCAACCCAATATAATTGCTGAAACAGCTGCTAGAAAACCGACAACTGTTGCCTGGACCTAAAAAATGTTTTATAAAAATCCAACTGAATCATTCATTTTCAAAAGAAATTTAAAATTTTAATGCAAAATTTAATAGTTGTATTACATACAAGAAGTCAGAAGAAAGTATGACATACAATAACCGAGTTGCATTACCTTCTAAAGAAGTAAGTGCATTTTAGTTTTGATATTCCCTAAAATTGTGGGTGCCTAAACTGCCCTGATCTGGTGACCACAGGCATGCAAGGAGTTCAGGAATGTTTTAAACAGTACCCCTTGTGATTATTTATTTATTTATTTATTTATTTTTGAGAGTTTTTTGCTTTAGGGCATGCATGCTCACCAGAGAAAGAGAGACAGAAAATGAGAAATCATCCCCCAGGAGAGAGAGCCACACTGCAATCCCTTCTCCTCCACTCTCATCTCAGGATTTTGGGCACACACGCCCAATGTGAGTTTCAAGTCACCCAATCTGGGACTTGAACCACACGGTTAGCCATGTAGGAGTCCAGTGCCTCAACCACCACAACACCTGCTGGGTCCCCTACGTGATTTTAATGGTATAATCCACAGATCGCATAAGAAAAACCTCCTTCACAATGAAAACTACCCAGTGCATACATCTGAAGGCTGACTCTAGAGGCATTACTGGAAAGCAATTGGATTTTAAAGTTAAATGATACAAATTTGACTTCTGGATCTACCACTAATTTTGTGGCAAGTTATTTGAATTGATTCATTCAATAAGTATTTATTTAGATTCTACTGTGTATAGTATATTATGTTTGGTGTTAAGCTACGATAGTGGTCAAAACAGATTTATCCCCTGCTCTCCCAGAGCCTTTAGTCAATGGGAGAGAAAGACAGTCAAAAATAACCTCATTAATGATCACAATTGTGAGTAATGCTATGCAAAATTCAGTTTCCAATCTGTAAAATGACAATAACATCAAACTTTGAAACTTCAATTAATTATATAATTATACAAAGTGTTTCCCATAGTTTTGGCACAAAGAGGCAACAACAAAGAAAACAGCAACTCAGAAAAGTTTACATTAGCTGTGAACTCTTAGAGTAATAGAATGTCAAAACTACTAGAAACCTTAAAGGAATCATCTATTCCATCCTTCTTAGCTGTGTTTGTCTCATGGACCCTTTGGCAATCCGGTGAAAACTCTGTAGAATAGGGATTCTTTTTCTCTAGGAAAACACAGAGGCACTCAGTACTTTGAATAGAATGTCTTGGTGCTCAGAAACTCGGAAACTAAACCATGCCAGGAATCCAGGGCTCCAGATGAAAAGTTCCCAAAACAGCCTAACCCTATTATATTGTAAATTCACGGAAGAGCCAGGACTAGAGAGTCAGGATCTCTTGGATTCAAGCCAGGAGATGAAATCTTGTTGATTCCGTCAATGGCACCTGTTGACATCACTCACAGATTCAGGGCTGAGATTACAGCTATAAGCACCATTATGACTACAGCAATGGTTAAACTAGTTCGGTATTTTCTTTCTGGTTAGTAAACATCAAAATACTTTAAACCAGTAAAATTAATTAATAATGTAAATGCTAGCACCGTGAGTCCAAGTCTTTTCGGGAAGAGAAATCTAGAGAAGAGAGCCAGAAGACTGCTGCAGACATCACGGACCGAATGTATGCATGCATCTGTCTGTCTGTCTGTCTGTTACTGAGGAAATGAAAGCACACAGCTGAGATGGTGGAGCCCTATTCCATAAACCTGCAAAAGAAATGCCTAATTGTTTCTAAGAGAAAGCAAAGTCTGGATTTAAGTAATAGCTGGGGAGGTTATCTGGGCCTTAGGTCTGAACAGAGGTTAGTGCAGGACACACTCCTCCCAGTGAGGTAAGGGTTCCTCAGATGGGATTGGGAATTTGCTCTATCTGACAGCATTTGCACTGGTTGAGGCAGCTGTCCCATACACATGAAGAATTCTGTGACAGGTAATCACCCTGAGACCCTATTTAATACCCAGAAGAGTACACCCTACAGTAAGCAAGAGCATGACCTTCCTGTCCCTTCTACACTTTTCCATCTCTACTCTCCACAGCCAGTCTCCAGCCAAGGAAACATCAGGCCCACCCACCCCACTGCACCCCCATACCCATCTACTCCTCCATAAGGGGTAGCAGATAAAGCCTTGGGAGAAAACCATCTCTCCCCTAACTCACTGCTACCCTGCCATCTTGTTTTCTTTGTTTTGTCCAGTGGTAACTGGGCTCCAACCAATCAGTGCCAGCCTCACAGGGTGACAGACAGACTGGTGGATAGAAAGACAGCTTCACCAGTTGTGTCCTGACAGGCCTGCTCGGGGTTCCCTACGCTCATAGGTCCTTGGTGGGTGGGGCAGACCAAGAGGAAACTAGGATCAGCAAAGCCCCGGACTCTCTGGCTCCCTTTCTGGACAATAGTCACAGGGAGAGAGAATGACAGAGAAGGGTAGAGGATAAAACTGAAAGGAAAACTTAAAAGCAGAGACAGAAATGACTAGAATGATTTGATGAATAATTTATACTACAGCTTATATTACTTGGTAAGAGCTTTAAAGACTAAAGTGGAATATATTTTCTTGTCTTCTTTCTTTTTTAATTGCCAGAGAATACACACTTTGACCACAGAGAAAGGGAGAGATAGAGAGAAACAGAGAGACAGGGAGAAAGTAACCCCCACTGGGGCATGGTCATATCACAATCATGTCTCCATTTCTCTTTCCTGTTGGGATTTGGGGCATGCACACGCAGGCATCCTGTGTGTTTTTCCAACTGCTGCGGGCAGGATTCAAACCATGGCCAGTCAGCTCTTTTAAACAGGAGTCAGCCCAAGAGTCTATATTTTCTCATTGCCAACTGTACGATTTTAGGAGCAAGTGCACAGATATTCAAAGAACAACCCATATGTGAAAAGATTCTCTATTTCTTTGTCTTTTAAATACATTGCATGAAATTATATTTCTGGGGACCAGCAGTTAGCATAATGGCTATGTCGCTGAACTCCCATGTAGTCGACCGTAGTTCAAGTTCCGGACCTGGTGGCTTAAATTCATGCTAGGCGCATTTGCGTGCATGCCCAAGACCCCAAGAGGAGAAGGGATTGCGGCATGGCCATCCACCCCGGGGGGTGATTTCTAGCTTTCTATCTCTCTTTCTGGCGAGCACACACACCCTGTAGCAAACTCCTCTCCAAAAAAAATTATATTTCTGCAACTATGTTCCCAACACTGTGTCCTAGTTGAACCAAGGAGTAAAATTAATGTATAGACCCTAAGCACAGGTTAGCTAGTCACTAGGGGGAGGGAGCTGCAGTCTTCTGTCTTAGAGATAGGAAAAGGGAGAGGAAGAAGAAATACTCACCTGAGATAAGGCTATGGATGATATGTAATACCGTTTAGTGCATTTGTAATTGGTGCTTTAATGTGTTTGTTTATATTAACACTAATAAATTAACAAGTTAAGGAAAACCCAACTTAAACAAATAGCTAAGCAAAATATATAGAAAATAACTCGGTTTAATTATTGGGTTGTTGAGAAAGTCATTTTTGCATAGAAAAACAGAAAAGTATGTCATGACTTTCCCAACAACCTAATAAATAGATGATTTACTAAAAAAAATAATAAAGTAGAAAAATAGCACCTGAGCAATGACATGCTAAATATCTGTATAGATATCAACTCAAATTCTGGCTCTGTTACACAGTTATAATAGGAAATGTTATTTTGTACATCACATATTTTTAATATTTGGAAGAACCTGATCAATCTCTAGAGAAATTTCAGATCAATTTTTAGATCAATTTCAGAGATCACAGGAATCCATTTCTTCAAGGCATAAATTATTGTCTTGGTAGCCCCTGAAGCAATTAAATGGTAGATTTCACAGTACTAATATTTACTCCTTTCTTACAGATGACTCTCAAGACCATAAATAAAAGATCTGCAAACAAATATGTGAATCGCGTACCTGCTTTAAAGCCAAGTTGCCAATTATTAGGTTCCACTTTTCAATGGGTGAATCCATCTTCCCAATATTTACCTGTTAAAATAGATATTTTCATATATCACTAAATAATCTATATGCTGCCTGCCCTATTTAAACAAAATATAGAGTCTTAAAGTCTAAAATAATTCTTTATTAAATCCAATGACTTCACATCGTACTTTGAATATTATTCTCCACACACTGCCAGTCTTGCATCTAGCATAGACTTGCTCAAGATGCTTATGAGCAAAAACGTTACTTGTTTTAAACTGAACTAGATTACAAGAACTAGTGAACTGGCTAGTATTATCTACCTACCTACCGATGTCATTTTACCACCAACATCAGCAGGTATGATTCAAATATGCCAAATGTTATGTATTGAGGCCTAATATAAATATATAGCTTTGAGCTGCTAGCACTTAATTCTGTATCATAAAACCAATATAATTTGAAGAATTATTGATTAAGAACACCTAAATATTAAAAAATCACTCATATGTACAGAATTGATATTTCAGTCATGACTAAAACTGCCAGTAGTAAAAGTTCTATCAGTTCACAAATGAATTTTGATCATAGACCACACTATCGAAGTTTAAACATCTTTCTGCTAAGTAGAAGAATATTGCCAAAAACAGAAATATTAGTACTCACATATTAAATCATTCTGTAAGCTAAATCATACTTCTCAGTCACATAGAATTTAAAAAAATGTATATTAAACCTGTCAAGTTTTTTAAATGCAGTTATTTAGAAAGTAATGAAATAATCATTAGTATTCTGAGCTGGGTTTCAATTTTTCAGCATCCGCTTGGTCATATAAGATGACCAAATGTTAAAAAAAATTTTTAAATGTTAAAAATAATTTTAAAAAATCTATAGGTGAATAGGTAAAGAGGGAGATAAAAGAGTGATAAATAGGGTTGTTGGGTCAGTGAGTAGAATGGTGGTTAAGGTGGCTAGATCCCACATGGCCAACTATGTGGCTCAAAGCCCCAGAACCAGTAGCTTAAGAAACATGCCAGGCATATGTGAATGAGTGCCCCAAATCCCCAAAAGAAGGAGAGATGGAGAAGATTATAGCAAGGCCATTTCTCATAGGGGGTGCTTTCTTACCACCTGCCCTCTGTTTCTCTCCAGTAAGAGTATATGTCCTCTAGCAAAAAATGTTTAAAGAAAATAATAAGGGCTGTTATTATGCAACCCATTCTCCTCCTAGGATTTTAGGCATGCATATACATGCACCCCACGTGATTTCAAGCCACCAGGTCTGTGACTCAAACTGTAGTCAGCCATGTGGGAGTCCAGAGCCTTAACTACCACACCACCTATTGGCTCTGGGAATCTAAATTATTGATGAATCTCTGTTTGTGGCTCTGACAACCTGGGCCTTTGCTCGAGTGAGTTTAACCATGGACAGACTAGAGCGTGGCTCTCTGGCTTCAGACCAGCACAGGTTAAACACGACATGAACATTTTCTCTATCAGTGTGGAAAAAAGATTCTATTCTGTAATCCTGTTCTGAACTTTAGCTTCAAGTATTCATCAAATGCAAATAGTGAGATTTCTCAGTGTTTTAAAAAATTACTCATGCAGTCTTTATATATTTCTTTACTAGGTCTGGGAATCTAAATTTTTTTAAGGTTTTGCAATAGGATGTATATACTCACCAGAGAGGCAGTGAAAGGTAAAATGAGAAATCACCCCCTGTGGGGATGCCCACACTGCAATCCATCCCCCTCCTGGGATTTTAGGCACACACACACACACACACACACACACACACAAGCACTCCATGTGATTTCAAGCCGCTGGATTCGGGACTTGAACTGTAATTGGCCACATGAGAGTCCAGCGCCTGAACCACCACACCACCGTTGGCCTTGGGAACCTAAATTATTGATGAAATTCCTGTTTGCGGCTCTGACAAACTGGGCCTTCGCTCAAGTGAGTAATAAGATATAATCGATGTTCAAAGAGTGAACCTATCTCAGATTTAGTTCTGAAAACAGGTCTGAGAGAAATTAGTGTTATTCTGTAATAATTAGAAAGATGTCTATAGTTGGGGCCGGCAGGGGGCATGGTGGTTAAGGGTGCTGGACTCCCACGTGGCCAACTGCTACTTGAGTCTCAGACCTGGCAGCTTGATTTCTCACTTTTCCTCTCTCTCTCCCTCCTTTCAAATTAAAAAAAATAAATAAATAAAGTTAAATAAAATAATTCTTTTTTTTAAAAAAAGAAAGATGTCTATAGCTATGGGAAGCAATCTAAAATGATTCCACGAACACATGTAAAACATCAGACTCTAGGATTGCAATAATAACCAATGGAGACATAATATACTAGGGTCTACGACAAGATCAAGAAAGGTGGGAGGGGGACCAGCAGTTAGTCTAATGGCTATGTCTCTGGACTCCCATTTAGTCGACTGCGGTTCAAGTCCCAGACCTGGTGGCTTAAACTCATGACGGGCACATGTGCGCGCGTGCCCAAGATCCCAAGAGGAGAATGGAAGAGAAAGGACTGTGGTGTGGCCATCCCCCCCACCACTGGGGGGTGATTTCTTGCTTTCTGTCTCTCTTGTCTCTCTCTGCTCTCTGTTTTTCTGGCAAGTGCGCACCCTATAGCAAAAACGTCTCCAAAAAAAAAAAAAAAAAAAAAGGTGGGAGGGACAGAGTAAATGCATGCTGTGAATGAGGTGTGCAACTCTGCTAAGTTCACTCGGGACCATCACCGCCAGTCCCTTTTAAGGCCTAGGGCTACAGTCCTCAAAATGCCTTTCTATAGCTTTACATTCTGCCAGTCAGAGGAACTTGCCTATGATTTGGAAGGTGAAAGTGAGGCAGAAACCATGACTTTTGGAAGGTGATCAGCTATGGAAGATGCACAGACCTCTTTCACTACAATGCTCAAGTAACTGAACAGTGTAAATAATATGTTGTGAATCTGGGTACTGTTACGTTCTGAGGATTACTGTTTTCTTCCATCTCAAGGGCTGTCAACTTGCCTAGACTCTAACGGCAGACTCTTGTCTCTCCCACCACGTTGAGCAGTCATCTCTTTGCGTGGTTCTCTCGGCTACGGAGTATTGGGTTTTAGCCTAGGCCTTTGGGGATCTCTTCTGCACCTGTATAGTTAAATATCAGCCAAAGGTTCGGGCAGAATTTATATTCAGACTTTGGGGCTCGTTCTCTCTGTGGTTCTCTTGTTTCTGGGATTTCCCCATAAACTTCCACCTGCTCTGTCAGCGCCAGGCTCTGTCATCTGATAATTCAAGTCAGTAAAATTTCAACTTTCTGCCATGATAGTCATGCCTAAGACACAGAGGGCACTTAGTCCAAAAAGCAACAAAGACACGAATCTTAGCCAGTGTATCTGTCTTTCAATTATAGGCCCCTTTCACATTTCTGCCAGCCTCAGGTCATCCCTACGCACATGCACTAAAGGTACTTCTGTGGTTACCAAAGATTTAAGTAGATGTTATGCTCAAAGTTTGGATCTCATTGTTTCTGCACTCGTAGAATTTCTTCCCCAAATTTCTAACAACTGGAAATTGCTGGCTTTGAGCTCTCTTCTGCAACCTGAGCTAATACAACTGTTGGTTTTCTGCCCCACGAGATCCAGGAATTGGGAAACTCCCTCAAGTAAAAAAATCACACACTTTGCAGTTCTTATCCATGGTAGATCACACACTTGGCAATTCCTACTCATGGTGGTTGTGGTCTCTTCAAGGGTAAACTAGTTTTTACCTACGTTTGATCACTTCCCATTGCCATCAAATATTGGGTCGTTGGAAAAGTCATCATGAAATTTTGGAAAACACATCATGACGTTTCCAACGACCCAATAGTTTGTCTAAATTTTAAAACTGTTCATCTCTGGGAGGGTTCAGCCAATCAATTCATTCTGCAAATTACCTGAAATCAGGATCCCTGCTAAATATTTTTATGTGCTTTAGTTTTTAAAAATATAATACACAAGAACACACACTAATATCTTTCTGAATGTTCAGGAGTAATGTACATGTTCATTTTCTTGATTGTGGTGACAGTTTTACAGATATTTACTATCAAAACTCACCAAATTATAGACTTTAAATTTGTGTAGCTTATTGTATGTCAATTAGACCTCCATAAAGCTGCAAGAAAGGGGCAGGAGCTAAAAGCCTACTAGACTGAAACAGTTTAGGGTTAAACATAGAGAGTATTCCACAAAACTATGGCTAGGGATTGATATTCATAACTTAAGGAAGATACTTTAAAATGGAAAACTAATGGGAAGATGCAAATTCATTTGTACCTAATAGGTTGTATAACAAGAACTTGTAAAATTTAGAATTATGCTAAACTTAGGAACTATGACTGAGTTTATAACTAGATCTAAATTAAAGCATGAATATTAGAATCATTATTTGGGCTTTAATTTTTCTTTATTTAGACATTTTATAATTTGAAATGAAAGTCTTACATAAAATTATGAGAAAGAGGTTTTGCCAACTTCATATTCTACACTGGGAATGTAGGCCCAAAAAAGGCAGTAACATTTTCTGTTTTATTTGTTACTGATTCCCTAGCACGTGGAGCAGTGCTTGGGCATACAGCAAAGGTTTAAAAAAGTATTGTTTTTGGTGGGACCAGCAGTTGGCGTAATGGCTATGTTGCTGGACTCCCATGTAGTCAACTGGGTTTGAGTCCTGAACCCGGCGGCTTAAACTCACGCTGGGCGTGTGTGCATGCGTGCCCAAGATCCTGAGAGGAGAATGGAGGAGAAAGGATTGTGGTGTGACCATCCCCCCTGGGGGATGATTTCTTGCTTCCTGTCTCTCTATCTTTCTCTGTCTTTCTGGCAAGTGCACGTACCCTAGAGCAAAAACCTCTCAAAAAAAAAAAATATATATATATATATACATTGTTTTGAACTAATAGATTAGAAAGGTAGAATGTTATGAAATAATTTTAAAGAATCAAGAGTTCTCTGAGCCGAGGCCTAAAGCAGCTGAAATTTTGCTTCGGGTAGAAAAGTGCTAATCAAATTATGCTAGGGAGGGGCAG